GGGGGGCGGGGAGGGGGGAGGGCGGGTCAGGGGCGAGGGGGGCAGACCACTAGGGTCCGGGCCGGCTCCTGGTGGTGGGAGGGACGAGAATGCGCTGAGGACTGCGATCTAGGGATGCCGAGGGCGCGGGGAGTGAGTGAGCAGACAGCCCACGAGCGGAGGAGGACCGGGTGGTGGACAGAGGTGCGGGGTCAGGGACAGGAGACCGTGAGCTCCAGGCTTGGGTTTGGGAAACCAGCGGGGAGAGGCGGTCGGGGTTCATCAGGACCGGGCCGAGGACTGGGAAGGGCCGAAAGGAAGGAGGCAGAGGGACGAGAGAGAGAGACAAAGAGACTTCTGGTGAGCACGTCCACGTGGGGAGCCCTCCATTTCCAAAGCGCCTGCCCATCACACCGCTCTTCGCAGGGAGTGGCCGGCGGGCCAGCCCCCCGCCCTTGGCTCTGCGCTCCGTGCTCTGGGGGGTGGGAGGGGTGAGGGGGTGGGCAGCTGTGAGGGGGATTTGGGGGAGACACAGGCGTGGGGTGGCAGCCTCCAGGGGTGGGCGCCCTGGCTGACCGCACGCTGCCATTTATATCTCTGGGCTCCGCCGGCCGCCGTCGGAGGAGGAGGATTCTGCCGTCTCCGCCACCACGGCGGCTGCTTATTTCGGGGTGTTACATTCTGGCGGGGTGAGAAGCTGTTTGCGGCGACTCTAAACCTCCAGCACCCGCGCCAGTGCCTCTCAGGCCCCTACGTCACGCCATCGCCTCCCACTTCCTTGGCCCCTACCCCCTCAGCATCTGCCCGGCAGGCCCCAGCCCTTCCCAACCTTTTCTGGTGTCAGAACCCCAGGCCTGGACTCCCTTCCCAGGGAGCATTTTCCCTGGGGCCACTCTTCCCCGCCTCCTCCTCCAGTTTGTTCTCTCCCAGCGATTTCTGGACCCAAGGGTGACTCCTGGGCAGAGAACTTTGGGAGCCTTGATGCCCCAGGGCGATGGCCTGGCGTCCTTGACGATGGGCCCGCGGTGAATGGATCATTTCTGGCTCTGGGCCCCTCTGCCTTCCGGGATCAATGCCATGTTCCGATCTCTCTCTGTTCCCTCCCCTGGTCAGTTCTGGCCTCATCTTCTGGACACGGGGCCTCTCTTCCCGCCTCTGGATGGGATGTCACCTCAAACAACCAGAGCCTGGAGCCCAGGGAGCCAAAGTTGCAGAGAGCCGGGTCCTCCCTTCGCCTCGACCCTAAACAGGCAAACAGAAGCGGCGTCATTGCTGGCCCGGCCTTGTGCACCTGGGCGCAATTTCTATGCTCTCTTTCCCCAAGCCCAGCAACTCTCACATGCAGGGGTGGCTTCCGTGGCTGACATGGGATCTCCCAGAGAAAGGTCAGAGAGTCCCTTTAGACAGGGACTCGCGCCATCCAGGTTCCACCTTGTACCAGCTGCATGACCCGAGGCAACGCATTTCACGTTTGAGAGCCTCCCTGCCCTCACTTGCAAATAGGAGCCCAGAATCTTGATCTCACAGGGGCGATGCTGTGTTGATTCTGTGCACAAAGATGTGTCCGAATGCTGTGGCTGGCACACAGTAGGTGTTCAGTCACAGATGGTTTCTGCCCATCGCTGCTCTACGCTCCCCTGCAACTCAAGCATCACCTACCTACTGACTTCAGGGAAAAATGAAACAGAAAAGATGAGATGAGCAGAGAGGGTGAGGGGAGCTGCTGGAATGGGCTTTCCTTGGCCCAGATAGTGGGGAGGGGTCAGATGGAGCTTTGGAGAAAGGGGCTGATGGCAGACTGAGATTCGGGTGCGGGCCTGGGCCGCTCACTGATGGCGTGGCCACTGAGATAAGGGATCAGCCCCTGATGGCTGACGAGGTGTACGCCATTCCTGCTCTGAGACTCTTGTGCCTCTCACCGCGGTCCTCACCAGGCATTCACGATGGGGCTGGGAGTGGACCTGTGGTCCTTTGGGGGGAGAAGGCGGAGCCTGGGGCGGATGGAGTCCTGGTGGGGAGAGGCAGGGGGCGGGAAGGGGGGTGGTGAGGAGACCTGCAGGCAGGGGCTGCGGGGGGGGCGGAGGAAGGCAGCGCTCACCAGGCCCCGGGGGCAGAGAAGCCCAGAGCCCCCAAGCCTCCCCTGTGCCTGGCTTCCAGTGTGAGCCGCAGCCTGAATTATGGATGAGGCTCCTTGGGTTTCAGCTGCCTTGCATGGCGGCGGCCAGGGCCAGAAATGGCAACAGAGTCACTGTTAGGGCAGCTGTCACGGAGGCCCCCAGCCCAGGGCCCTGCATCAGAGAGGCTGCAGGGAGGGGGGCCAGGATGATGGGGGCGACGAGGGCCGGCAGGGGGGCGGGGAAGTGTGGGCTAAAGGGACTGAGGGAGCCCTGCTGACCCTGCCCCCCGCCCCACCCCAGACTGGAGGAGACCCTGGTGCCCGGGACCGCTCGGACTCTGGAGCACTCTGGAACCACGGGCCGTCTCTCCTGGGGGTTCTCTGTTCCCTCTATCCCCCCCCATTCTCTGGAGGTTCTGGGGGAACAGTCGGCCTGGAGGCTGGGGAAAGAGCTCCTTAATCCTCGGGGATGGGGGGGTTGGGGGGGTGGCGGCTTTCTGAACACACACTCTTCGAGGTGATGGATCAGCCGCAGGATTAAGGGCTCAGAGAGGGATTTGGCTTTCTCTGGTGTCGAGTCCTTGGGGAAGGGAGCTGGAGGGGGACCCCACCAGGAAGGGAGCGGCCCTGGCCGGCCACAGGGGGACCCTCCGCTCCGGTGCTCGCCAGCTGCTCTGCTGTGTGACCTTGGCCCAGTCACTGGGCCTCTCGGAGCCATGGCAGGCAGGTCAGCAGAACCAGAACCTGAAACCGGATGAGCCTGGAGGGCTGCCCGGCTCTGAGCGCCGCTGTCTTGAGCCCCAAAACTCAGCCCTCCTGAAACCCTCCCCCGGGCTCCCACCCCTGCCTGGTGGGGCTGAGGGGCGAGAGACGCGCCCCTGCAGCCCACGTGGCTCCCAGAAACCCCGGGAGGAGAGAGTGATCGTGAAACGCCGCTCGGGGGAGGGGTGAGAAGGGCCAGCAGCGCGGAGGCGGTGTGAACGAATGGAACAGCGGCGGCTGTGTCACTGAGTATTACATCACACCCGGCCCACACACGCACGGGGCCCGGCACTCACATACGCGGGGGGCCGCGGGTACACGCCTGCACGCTCACGGGGGTCCGGGCGCCGGGGATAACCGCGCCTTTGCAGTCCTCCAGGGAGGAGGTTCCTCCAAGCATCCTTGACGTTGGCGCCGCGCACGCGGTCTGTGTGCCACCCCGGGCATGCGCCGTGTGCCACCCCGAGTGCTCGCCATGTGCCACCCCGTGTGTGCGCTCCGTGTGCCACCCCGTGTGTGTGCGCCGTGTGCCACCCCATGTATGTGTGCCACCCCAAGTGCGCGCCGTGTGCCACCCCATGTGTGCACTGTGTGCGTGCCGTGTGCCACCCCGTGTGTGCGTGCCGTGTGCCACCCCGTGTGAGCGCCGTGTGCCACCCCGTGTGTGCATGCGGTGTGCCACCCCGTGTGTGTGCTGTGTGCACTCTGTGTGCGTGCCGTGTGCCACCCCGAGTGTGAGCGCCATGTGCCACCCCATGTGTGCGCTCCGTGTGCCACCCCGTGTGTGCGCGCCGTGTGCCACCCCAGGTGTGCGTGCCGTGTGCCACCCCATGTGTGAGCGCCGTGTGCCACCCCGAGTGTGCGTGCCGTGTGCCACCCCATGTGTGAGCGCCGTGTGCCACCCCGAGTGTGCATGCCGTGTGCCACCCCGTGTGTGCACTGTGTGCGCGCCATGTGCCACCCCGTGTGTGAGCACCGTGTGCCACCTCGTGTGTGCATGCCGTGTGCCACCCCGTGTGTGCGTGCCGTGTGCCACCCCGTGTGTGAGCGCCGTGTGCCATCCCATGTGTGAGCGCCGTGTGCCACCCCATGTGTGAGCGCCATGTGTGATCCTGAGTGCATGCCATGTGCCACCCCGTGTGTGAGCGCCATGTGCCATCCCGTGTGTGCGTGCCGTGTGCCACCCCGTGTGTGCGTGCCGTGTGCCACCCCGTGTGTGAGCGCCATGTGCGATCCCGAGTGCATGCCGTGTGCCACCCCGTGTGTGCGTGCTATGTGCCACCCCGTGTGTGAGCGCCGTGTGCCACCCCATGTGTGAGCGCCATGTGCGATCCCGAGTGCATGCCGTGTGCCACCCCGAATGTGCATGCCGTGTGCCACCCCGTGTGTGCGCTGTGCGCGCGCCATGTGCCACCCCGTGTGTGAGCACCGTGTGCCACCTCGTGTGTGCATGCCGTGTGCCACCCCGTGTGTGAGCGCCGTGTGCCACCCCATGTGTGAGTGCCATGTGCAATCCCGAGTGCATGCCGTGTGCCACCCCGAGTGTGCATGCTGTGTGCCACCCCGTGTGTGCGTGCCGTGTGCCACCCCGTGTGTGAGCGCCATGTGCGATCCCGAGTGCATGCCGTGTGCCACCCCGAGTGTGCATGCCGTGTCCCACCCCGTGTGTGAGTGCCGTGTGCCACCCCGTGTGTGCGTGCCGTGTGCCACCCCGTGTGTGAGTGCCGTGTGCCACCCCGGGTGTGAGTGCCGTGTGCGGTCCCGAGTGCACGCCGTGTACGGCCCTGGCCGGCCACAGGGGGACCCTCCGCTCCGGTGCTCGCCAGCTGCTCTGCTGTGTGACCTTGGCCCAGTCACTGGGCCTCTCGGAGCCATGGCAGGCAGGTCAGCAGAACCAGAACCTGAAACCGGATGAGCCTGGAGGGCTGCCCGGCTCTGAGCGCCGCTGTCTTGAGCCCCAAAACTCAGCCCTCCTGAAACCCTCCCCCGGGCTCCCACCCCTGCCTGGTGGGGCTGAGGGGCGAGAGACGCGCCCCTGCAGCCCACGTGGCTCCCAGAAACCCCGGGAGGAGAGAGTGATCGTGAAACGCCGCTCGGGGGAGGGGTGAGAAGGGCCAGCAGCGCGGAGGCGGTGTGAACGAATGGAACAGCGGCGGCTGTGTCACTGAGTATTACATCACACCCGGCCCACACACGCACGGGGCCCGGCACTCACATACGCGGGGGGCCGCGGGCACACGCCTGCACGCTCACGGGGGGCCGGGCGCCGGGGACAACCGCGCCTTTGCAGTCCTCCAGGGAGGAGGTTCCTCCAAGCATCCTTGACGTTGGCGCCGCGCACGCGGTCTGTGTGCCACCCCGGGCATGCGCCGTGTGCCACCCCGAGTGCTCGCCATGTGCCACCCCGTGTGTGCGTTCTGTGTGCCACCCCGTGTGTGTGCGCCGTGTGCCACCCCATGTATGTGTGCCACCCCAAGTGCGCGCCGTGTGCCACCCTGTGTGTGTGCTGTGTGCGTGCCGTGTGCCACCCCGTGTGTGCGTGCCGTGTGCCACCCCGTGTGTGCGCGCCGTGTGCCACCCCTTGTGTGTGTGCCGTGTGCCACCCCAAGTGCGCGCCGTGTGCCACCCCGTGTGTGCGCTCCGTGTGCCACCCCGTGTGTGCGCACCGTGTGCCACCCCATGTGTGTGTGCCATGTGCCACCCCGAGTGCGCGCCGTGTGCCACCCCGTGTGTGCGTGCCGTGTGCCACCCCCATGTGTGCGTGCCGTGTGTCACCCCATGTGTGAGCGCCGTGTGCCACCCCGAGTGTGCGTGCCGTGTGCCACCCCGTGTGTGAGCACTGTGTGCCACCCTGAGTGTGCATGCCGTGTGCCACCCCATGTGTGAGCACCGTGTGCCACCCCAAGTGCACGCCGCGTGCCACCCCGTGTGTGCACTGTGTGCACTCTGTGTGCGTGCCGTGTGCCACCCCGGGCCCAGAAGTGCTCCATGTACAGAGCACCTGGCTCACACATGCCATCACACCTCTGACACCAGGGGTCACCGGCAGGCAGGGACCCCCTCAGACTCTCCCGACAACCCCAGGGCCCAAGATCTCAGGTCCTTGGGTCCAAGGGAGTGAGTCCTTACCTTCCGAGCTCTAGCACACTGTCTGGAGCAGACAGTGCCCTTTACCCCGTGCCAGAGAATGAGCACTTGGCTTCTGGGGGCTGCAAAACCTGCCAGAAGAAAATCCCGAGTCACCGGGAAGCCAGGATCAAGGGCAGAGGTCAAGGTGGTTCCAGAACTTCCTCAGCTGCAGTCAGGGTCAGAAGGCCAGGGTCAGGGTGGGAGAGGGGCCCACAGCCCTGCTGGTGCTCGGGGGTGTGGGCGTCTAGACGCGACTCTTTAGCGCCCAATCCCCTGGGCCTGCCTCTCCATCTGAATCATAGCCAAGTTTCAAGAGTTACTTTGAAAAAAAAAAATTTTAAGTGACTTTGAAGGAGAGGAGCCTGGGGTGTAAAAAGTGAGGTTCCTGGGCTGTCCCCCTCGGGGTGCTGATTCTGCCCAGGCAGGGCCCAGAAGTGGCATTCCTTCAGGACACCCCACTCCTATTCTCCTGCAGATGGCTGCTGGCCCCAGGGAGAGGCCCACGGTCACCAGGGGGCCTTAGACTCACAGAGGGTCTTGGTTTAGCGCCACCTGTTCCCCATGGGGTCAGTTTTTCTTCCCAGGTGATACTGGCAGTGATGTCTGGAGACCTTCTCGTTCTCGTAAGAGAGGAGGAATGTTACACATCTAATGCGGAGAGGACAGGGAAGCTGCTAAAGCCCCATATAGCCGCCATCCCCAGCCTTTTTGGCACCAGGGACAGGTTTCGTGGAAGACTGTTTTTACAGGGACCAGGCGAGGGGGTGGTCCGGGGATGATTCAAGCGGGTTAGGTTTGTCATACACTTTATTTCTGTTATTGTTTCATCAGTTCCACCTCAAATCATCAGGCATTAGGTCCTGGGGTGGGGAACCCCTGCTGTATAGAACGTCATATAGGACCGCCCCCCACCCCCGGACCACAAAGCAGTGTGGTCAACACTTAGAGTCACCGTCAGACCCACCACAGTGAAAACCAGAATGGAAGTAGACAGCCGCTCATCAAACAACTTTCAACCCATCAGAGTGTCCTCTGGGCATTTATTTTAATGTACCAGGAGGCTCCAAAAGCGGAAGTAGCCCAGAATCCGGGCCCCTCCAACCTAGGAAGGCAAGGCTCTCGGCCTCGGTCTCCTTAGGGGTAGGTGGGCAGGGTCTGTGCCTGGCACCCCCCCTGGTAGCCCGCCCAGAGCGCCCCGGGCCCAGGTCCCCTTCAGGGTAGGTGGGCGGGGTCTGCTAACCCCTCCGGCAACCCGTCTGCCCACAGGTCCACCGGCCTGCGTCCTGCTGCTCCTCCTGGCCGCAGCCCCTGCCGCCGCCCGCTGCCCCATGCTCTGCACCTGCTACCCGGCGCCGCCCACCGTGAGCTGCCAGGCCAACAACTTCTCGGCCGTGCCGCGGGCCCTGCCGCCCGGCACGCAGCGCCTCTTCCTGCAGAACAACCTCATCACCGCGCTGCGGCCCGGCTCCTTTGGGCCCAGCCTGCTCACCCTGTGGCTCTTCTCCAACAACCTCTCGGCCATCTACCCGGGCACCTTCCGCCACCTGCAGGCGCTCGAGGAGCTGGACCTGGGCGACAACCGGCACCTGCGCTCGCTGGAGCCCGACACCTTCCAGGGCCTGGAGCGGCTGCAGTCGCTGCACCTCTATCGCTGCCAGCTCAGCAGCCTGCCCGGCACCATCTTCCGCGGCCTGGTCAGCCTGCAGTACCTCTACCTCCAGGAAAACAGCCTGCTCCACCTACAGGTGAGCGCCCGGCTCTGCGGCCGCGGACGTGGGGGGCCTCCGCCTCGCCTCTCTCCCTGGGACCCTTCCTGCCTCCAGCCCAGCGCCGCCGGCGCCTCCGCGTCCTGGCCCCTCCCTCCCCCCGCACCCCGTGNCGGACTCGCCGCCCCCGTCTGTCTGCCTCTGCCTCTTCTGTCTGTCTCCTTCACGCGCCCACTCCAAACACCCCCCCACGTCTGTCTGGGTGGAGGTGTGTGTCTCTTCCCGTGATCTCTCCTCTCCCCCTTGCCTCCGGCGGACTCTGCCTTTTCGCGGGCAGTGCCGCCCGAGGGGCATCGTGGCGGCTTTCCTCGCCCACCCGTACGCCCTCCCACGTCACAGGCAGCGGGGCGCGGAGGGCGGAGCCACTACAGCTGCCACCCCGCAGGAGGCTCCCGCTCACTGGGTGCGGAGACCAGGGGAACCCCTACCCTGCCTAGATCCCATCCCCCCAAACCTACTGTCTCAGCGCAATGGGAGAAGGAGACAAGAAAGGGTAATGAGCTGTGAAGTAGCTGGGAAATGGATACTCAGAAAAACGGAAGGAATAACAGTAATGGTTATTTATTGTTATTATTATTGATCTAAATATTGTTCACTGTTGTTCTTATGCTGACTGTCTGACAGTCAAGTCCTCCCACTGTTTCCCCAGGAAGCAATAACAGACCCTCCAAACCATCCGAGGAGAAAATCCTCCCTTTCGGTTTCAGGCCTCTGGATTTCCAACTGCGACCCTCTCCCCCCACCCACCTGGATGGCCCTTCTCCCTCCCCACCCCCGGCTGGGGCCTGACTGCTCAGCCTGTGTGCATCTGATGCTGATAATGACAGTAACGCTAGCACTAATAATCCAACATTTATTGAACACCCAGTAAGTGCCTGGTGGTGAAAAAAGGGCAGTGAACAAAACCCAGGAAACTCCTGCCTTTGTGCAGAGCACCCTAGGGGCAGGGAGAAAGAGGAAGTAAAATAGATAGTACAGTGGCGAAATATGCTGTGTTTTATTCTTACTATATGTGCTGTGCTGAGTTGCTCAGTCCTGTCTGACTCTTTGTGACCTCATGCCCTGTAGCCCGCCAGGCTCCTCTGTCCATGGGATTCTCCAAGCCAAGGATACTGGAGTGGGTTGCCATGCCCTCCTCCAAGGAATCTTCCCAACCCAGGGATTGAACCCAGGTCTCCCGCATTGCAAGCATAACTATTGCATAAATAATGATAGTAATAGCCCACAAGCCCTCAGCCTAGGGGCTCAGCTGTAAAGAAAGCAGCTGCCATGGCAGGAGACCCGGGTTCCATCCCTGGGTCGGGAGGATCCCCTGGAGAAGGAAATGACAACCCACTCCAGCATCCTTGCCTGAGATCCCGTGGACAGAGGAGCCTGGCGGGCCACAGTCCATGGGGTCACAAACAGTTGGACAGGACTGAGTGACTAAACAACAAGCCATTAGGGGGTACACTAAGTGTGGGGTGCTGTGCTGAGGACTTTACAGGCATCAGCCCTGTCATTTACAAGTGTGTGACGTGTATAACCTCCCCGGGCCTCAGTTTTCCCATCTGTAAAATTGTGGTAGTCATAGCATCCATCTCCTAGGGATTTGAGAAGCGTTAAGTGCATGAATAATTTGTAAAGCACTTGAGATGGTGCTTGGCATACGGTAAGCATGCTATAAATGCTTGTTAAGATACTATTTTAAAAAGAGAAACCCGCCTCATTGAATGCTGGTCTTGGTGAAGTGGCTCATCTTGGGCCCTATCCTGAAGATATGGGTCAACTTCAAGGATTCTGCTGAGACCATGAGTGGGTGCCAGAACACTCCTTTTTTTTTTTCCTTCCTAACTTGGCACCTCATGGTTTCCAAAGTGTGCTCAGTCACCTCATCTCATTTCTGCAGCCCTGCTGGGGGACTGCTCACACCTCCTTAAGATAAGGAAGCTGAGACCGAGGGTCCCAAAGACTTTGTCCCAAAGTCTGGTAAACACTGTCCTTGTGCTTGGGGACTGACATGTTCTCAGCATCACAGGCCTCACAGCAAGCGGGGAGCGGGGACATAGAATGAAGTTTCTGAGGCTGCACCACCAGAAAGACCCGGTGGCACTTGAACCCTCATGATCTGATGACATTTCAGGCCATTTTCATCACTCAGAACGCTCCACGGGGGTCCGACCAGGTGCGGGGGGTGGGGGGGGCACATAAGAACAGCAGAGTGGGCTCATTTCTGAAAGCACCTGCTTTAGAAACTGCCAGACCAGAATGTAAATCCGGCTCACATGTGACTTTGGACAAATCACTCAACCTGTCTTCACGTCCATGTCCATTTCCTCTCTGGAATCATGATAGCACTTAACCACATCAAAACTGATCTAAGAAGTTTTGTAAGGATTAAAATGTAGGGAATTCCTTGGCAGTCTAGTGCTTAAGACTTAGCGCTACCCTTCAAGGGGCACAGGTTTAATCCCTGGTGGGGTATTAAGATCCCGCATGATGTGCTGCAGCCAATAAATAAGAGAAAATAAAATTTAGCACAGGGCCACATCAATGTATGGGCACTATCATTATTATTGTTGTTAATTATTACTACTGTGGCACCCCACTCCAGTACTCTTGCCTGGAAAATCCCATGGATGGAGGAGCCTGGTAGGCTGCAGTCCATGGGGTCGCGAAGAGTCAGACATGACTGAGCGACTTCACTTTCACTTTTCACTTTTATGCATTGGAGAAGGAAATGGCAACCCACTCCAGTGTTCTTGCCTGGAGAATTCCAGGGATGGGGTCGCACAGAGTCGGACACAACTGAAGTGACTTAGCAGTAGCAGTGTGAGAACCACTATTACTGAGACCCTGACCTCCTTATCAATATGTATCAGTTATGCCATGCAGGCTTTTTAAATGATCAAATCTTTTAATGACTAAATTTTTTTAATGATTAAAAAAGAGCTGGGTGTCTCTACCATCCAGTTGCACTCCAGCAGGTTAGGGAATCTAGGGTCAGCAGACCTGAGTTTGAATCCTCACTCTGTTATTTTCTGACTTGATTTCGGCAAGTTGCTGCCCCCCACTCTGAACCTCAGTTTTCCCATCTTTAAGATGGGAATAGTGAAAAGAATACCTTCCATCGACAGCTGTAAGAAGTCAGTGAATCCGTATTTGTAAAGTCCAGTGCTGAATCAGTTTGGTTTAGAAATGCCAGTTGGCAGTTTAGAAACTGCCAGACCAGAATGCAAATCCTGGCTCACGTGTGCCATCACAAATGGCAGATCAGGAATCCCAGGTCAGGAGCGACCTGGGCAGAGACACCTTGAGGGGTGCTGGGCTCTTCTGAAATGGGGCGGGCCGGTTCTGTGGCCCCCTGGCATGAATGGCGCGGGCGTCGTGGGAAGGAAACACCTGGCCCCTCACAGACGGGAAGGAGGCAGCCCCTGCCTGTGAACGGCCGGGAGAAGCTAGCGGGGAGATGCCACAGGCAGGTGGGGCGCACGCGCGGGGTGAGGCGCCCAGGGCGCAGGCGCGACTCGCGATGGCGCCAGGCTTCCCGGGAGGGGCGCTCTGGTGGAGGGAAGAGGGCCGCCGCGTCTCAGGAGGGCGGTGGAGGTGGAAACGGGGTCGGGGGCTCGCCCGCGGCAGGCGCTTGCCGCACGGACACTCACGGAGCACACGCCAGGCTGTGTCCTGGGGTCAGACGTGAACAAGGACAGGGTACCTGCTCTCCCACAGTACCGCTCCGACTGGAGCCGAGCTGGGTGATAGAGACACCGACCCTTTTTTGAATCATTAGGGCAGCCTGCGTGGCACAAAAGAGCAGTCTTCCCATCAGGCAGATCTGACTTGCCCTGTGGCTTCGGGCAAGTTACTTAACCGCTCTGAGCCTCAACGGACCCATCCGTGAAATGGGGACAATGACCTAAACCCCAGGAGTCTGTTGTGAGGATTAAAGGGGGTGCTGCTTAAAAAGGGCTCCGCATGCCCAGTCCAGTGAAGTGAAGTGAAAGTCGCTCAGTTAGTCCCATTCTTTGTGATTCCATGAACTATATAGTCCGTGGAATTCTCCAGGCCAGAATACTGGAGTGGCTAGCCTATTCCTTCTCCAGGGGGTCTTCCCAAACAAGGGATCGAACTGGGATCTCTTGCATTGCAGACAGATTCTTTTCCCGCTAAGCCATCAGGGAAGCCCCATCCAGAGTAACCATTGTTTCCCCCATTCAATGGCTAAGGACCCCGAGGCTCGGAAAAGTTAAGGCATCCCGTCCAAGGTCGCTCAGCTCCTGAGCAGCGCAGCCTAGAATCGCCCCGGGTCTGGCTCAGTCCAGAGTGCAGCTGGAGGCCTGGCTCCAGAGTTCACGTCTGCACTTCATTCCCCACTGGCTGCTGCGCCCTAGGCCAGTCGCTTACTGTCTCCATCCCTCCCTCCCCTAATCTCTGAAAGGGGAAGGATAATGTTTTCTGCCTCACAGGGCTGTGAGGATCCGGTTACTACATGGGATCTGTGTAGCACAGAGCCTGGCACATGGTAAGCGCTCGGTTACTCAGCTGCTGACGCAAATGATGGTTCATGATAACCCGGCGTAGATGGGTGAAGCCATCCGTGGGGGTGCCTGGCACAGGGCAGACACTCAGCACAGCTTTGTTGAATGAATGAGGTACATTCCAGGACTCTCTTGCTCATTAATATCAGATGAGGATGGATCTTAATGATCAATGACCTCAAGTCCCCTGTTTCACCAACTGGGGTAAAGAAAAAAAAAAAAACTGAGGCTCAGAGAGGTGCCTACAGCTGCCCAAGGTCACACAGCCCAGCAGCTGATTGGAGGCTGGACAGGGAGAGGCAAGGTTAAGAACAGGATGCTGACCAGGGAAGGGGGCAGGGATGCTGCGTTAAGATTCCAAATGGATGCAGAGAGCTGTGAACCGGCCGGGGGGGGG